AAAATGGTGTAACACTGTTTAATTCAACGTACAAAAAAAAATTTTTTTAAAATTATGAAAAATTATTTTCATAATTATTATTTCTAATTATTATTATTATTATTACTTGTTAGATTAATTTCATTAATTTCAAAGAAGAAACTCTAAACACATTAGAATATCGTTTCACATTCACGGGACATCGCATCGCGACAAAATTACATAAAGCGTACAAATGAAGTCCCATTCTTCCTTGGAATCGTTGTTGTTACGGAATGATATATCGACAATTGCCTTGGACGATGTAAATAAGCTTTGTTATTAGCCTAAGATGTTTGCTTATTATGGCCTAATCACGGGTAATTATGTAGAGAAATTTAAAAACAAATTTGTTTGCTCACTAATTCATTGTCGGCTATTATGGATTTATTGGTTATATTATTTAAAACTTTTCGATGATGGATAGAAAAATTGAAAAATTTTTTTTATTTATTTATTTGGTTGGTAAATGAATAAATAAATAAAAAGTCATATCACAGGTATTCAGGAAAATGAGGAAAAATTTCCTTTTGAGGAAAATTGTAAGCTCCAGAGCTTTAACGTTGCGTATAAACCGTAACGGTATCAAATTAGCGTTAAAATTTCTTGGGGAAAAGATCTAGTTATTTTTTGTCACTAGCGTCACTGTTCGATACACAAGATTTCCTTTCCATATTTCTGGAATATATGAAAAAAGTTTGACGCCGTATCAAATTCGCCAAATCTTAAAATAGTTTTTATTCATTTATGACGTACGATCCGGTAGTTGACGACTTGTTTCCGTTTTAATCGGGCGAGTCGAAGTTTATATCGGCTATCTAACTAAATTGTACGTCATAAATGAATAGAACCTATTTCAATATCTAGTAGTTAAAACGATATGTGATATTATGATTATCGAATGGGTTTTTTCCATATAATTTGAGAATATGAAATGTCTATGTCACAACTGTGAATGACTTTAGTTTTTTTTATGGAAAAAAATATTTCTAGGAATATTTTGGATGAATTAATTGCGTTTCAAATTTTAAATTACTTTAAAATATAATAATACTTTGACGTATGTAGAATTTACGATAAAATTTTAATCCAATTATTCCTCGTCGTATATATATATCTGATTTTCGCAAAGAAGTGTTCTTAATAAATTGGAAATTGTCCAACTAGTTTGTAATTCTAAGTCGTGACTCATCTGCGGAAATTGTCGGCTAAAAATTCTGAATAAGTTTGCTAAATGATATGATAGATAATAGTAAAAAAAGTAAAAAAAATATAATATCGAAGAATGATAAAACTCGAAAGCTGATGCTTACCTTAATCATTTTTCTAATAACATGAATCATAGATTCATTTACCGGAATCGAGTTTCTTTTTATCAGAAATCAAAAAATAAAACGATAACTAAGATAGATTTTCTAAATCACTCCCGTTCTCTGGCTCGTAAATTAGTAATTACAAAACAATTTATATTTCTAGACATCTTTTATTTAATCATTATGTTTTTCATTAGTATAGAACAAAATATTAACATTAAAACGTTTTTTTTATAAAAAAAACGAAAAAGAAAAAGAATATTTTCTAAAAAAAAATCACTTTAATTATAAACATAACCTATATCTTATTCATTAATGTATATCACCATATATTCATATTTTTATATCGAAACGAAATATTTATATGAATATTTTATTTTCAATCTTCCATTTGAAGAAAAATAAGATATAAAAAAAAAGGAAAAATTAATAATCACATTATATAATCTAAATGCTACCTATTAAAAATCAATGTGTCATAACGATATTCTTTCTTTCGTAATTAAAATGAAATACCTATATATTTTATTTCCAATCTTAGAGAGAGTTTAAAGAATAAAAGAAATTAGAATTGAAGGAGGATCGTAGATGCCAAATCGAACATTGCCATTAAGAAAATGGTTGATTCGGGTTAAATGGGAAAGGCTGCTCGTGCTTGCAAGCTTACCGACAGGCTCACGCACTCACACGAGCATCGACCGAGTTTAATATAGACGCGCGTTCGTGCCGCGTTCTCTTCTTGCATACCGAAAGTGGACCTCGACGACGAAACCATCACGACTGTTGCTCAGTTCGCTACGGTGAATGCGTTTATTTTTCTCTTGTCGATTCCGTCAAGCCAGACGGTACGTCGGCATAGGATTAAAACGGTGGTGGTTCGACGTTACTCTAACGATCAAAATTCAACGACCGAAAGAAAAATTCTTTTTTCGTCATTTCGACTCGTATCTTACGCGATTCGTATAACTGCGTTTATAGAGGTTAGATTTATTCTTTTCACGCATTTTCGTAATTTGAGAGTATTTCATTTTAGATATTTAATACAGATATTTTATACAGTTCATTCGTTTGTTTTATATAATTTTTCAAAATTATTGGAATACATATAGAGTTTAGATTATAGTTTTAGATGTTTTTCAAGGATGGATTTGAAATTAGGTTAGGTTTGAATTTTGTAATATTGAATTTTTGTTATCCAGAATTGAAGAAAAAATATTTTAGTTTTATAGTTCATTCTGAAAAAATTAATTTGTTGATATAAGTTGTAAGTTTAGAGTAAAATTTTTTAGATTTGTATTTGTGATATAATAAAATTATCCTTTTAGTTTGATTAAATTCGAGTGTCAATATCATAATACGATAAAAGCATTTTTTGTAAATATAAATATTTTTATCAAATTCGAATTGTTTGATTTATTAATAAAACATCATGAAAAATAAATATGTGGATAAATAAAAAATAATTGCATTGCTAAGAATGCATATTTAAATGTACAAAAAGCTTTTAGTAAAATTATTTATTTCAAAGATTTATTCAAAAAATATATATATAAAACTATATATATTAGCAAAGGAGTTAGAAACGTATATGATGCGTTATCAGAAACAAGATTCAAAGTAATAAATTGAAAGCAAGTTTTCATATATCGAGTTCCATTATGATTTTTAAATAATAACAATCAAGCATTAATATAATAATTTTGGTCATATATTTATATATATTGATAGTTTATTGCAAAAATATTATGTGCTTATTTTCAATATTATTTATGATAGAAATATATTCATCATTTAGTTATTGCATAATTAATTAAAATACCATATGTACATTCAGTATCGATTATGCAGGATTTCAATAAATGTAACATAATGTAATTACGTTTATAGAATTGTCTATGCAAACAATTTTGGAAGGAAGGGAGATTCTTAATATACTTCAGTATATCAAGAGTCGCATATGCTTCCAGAAGATGGATGTTAATTTGGGAAGACTTTGGTATCTTGTTATCTCTAATGATGGAATATCCCATTCCTAAATTGAATTTCCAAGTATGTGTATAAAGTTTAGTTTCACGTTATCTAATTTATGTTCTAGTCTATATTGATTTAGGGATTTTTAAAAATTATTTATAATTAGTTTTTTTTTTTTAATAAAAAATTATTATTCCATTCTTGATGCTTTAATCTATGTTTAATTTACTAATCGTTAAATTTATGGTTTGATATTATTATTTCAGTCAATGAAAGAAAAATCAAGAATAACGAGTTGAAAAAAACGATCGCATAAATCTATAAGTGCAAACTGATATTCGATAATAAATGTCGTAAAATGTTCGTCTATCGAAATTAATTTTAAATGGCTAATACGATTTGTAAATAGGAGTTCATTGGAATAAAAAAATTTTTTTGCAAAAATTATAAAAAATATATAAAAATAAAATAAATAAAATATATAAGATGTACAAAGATATACAAAGGTAATACACAACAAATTATATTAAATATTTATTCCTTTTCTTATATCATATAATTATATTTTATGCATTCTTTGGAGGTTAGAAAAGTACTTGCATCTTATATGTGAACTTGTTATTTCACATGTACATATTACTACCACTGCTATGTGATAAAAGAATATTATGAGTTTTAACAGGAATTTCAATGACACACTTTGAAAGTCTATGCTAAGAACATTTGGAATACTAATTGCCGGCTTGAATGAAAATTCCATAGCTACGTGTACCAACGCGGCCACCTATTTCCGTAATTGCAATGACTGTACTGCCACGGATCCAACTTGTAAATCGCTGTGATAACACGTATATACTGTGCATATAACATGTACGGCGAACAGAAATGTCCTGCGTTCACTTCGAGGAAAACATTTTTATATTTCCTGCTTCCTTCTCTTCTTCTTCATTTTATTTATTCAAATTTTCTTAATCATATTTGCGGATAATCTTCATGAATATGTGATAGCTAATATGTGATAGCATTGTAAATTATTATTTAACGTCTTAGTTCCAGGGAATGTGAAACATACATCGATAAAATATTGAAGTTATAATTTAATACAAACATAATGATATTACGAATATCATTATTCAAATCATATTTTAATAAGATTTTTACCTGAAATATATAAATATTTTTTTGAATATATGCTTATAAAAATTTTCAAATAAATTCTGAAATTTTTCGAAATTATAACATAACCTAACTTAACCTTAATTTCTATTTTCTTCTATACTTCTGTAATATTTTTTAATTCTAACCTAATGTTTTATTACGAATTCCTGAGAAATGTTAATGATTCAAATTTTTTAAATGGCAATGTATTTGTAACGAATATCTTGGCGCCACATTTCCGTGAGTTGACGACGACGCCGCTCCGGATCACCGGTAGGCCGTTGTGATAACTCTCGTGTCAGGCAGCCAACGATTATATAGGCAAAAAAAAGCATTCTTACAGTAAGACATATAACAGCACCGTTTCGCCGACAACACCCATTCAACGTGAACTGAAAACCAAGCAAACCGTGCCATTATTTCTCTTTCAATTGCGACGTTTAACGATGTCGACCCTTTTTCCACACATATTACTCATTATTCAGAAAACTCTTAATAATTATTAAGTGAAGAATACACCGAGAAGAATAATGGACAAAAGGAAACAATTAACTTTTTCGATAAACTTTTGTGTAAGAATTTTTAAAATTACCGTTATTTTCGATACATATACGTCGATTTATTATAGTGGTATATCGGTATATTAGCTTCTTATTGTTGTTAATGCGATAATAGATTTGATAATAAAAGAACAAAGCAACGCATCTAACATCACAAGAAGTTTTAAATCATATCATTGATGCAATATTGCAATCGGTCGATATCATATATCTGAAAAATTATTATCATTTCCGGATTGATTATCTCATATACTTTAATGTTTACTTCGTAGTATTTTCCTTTTATTAGTTGTTATATCTATTTAAAATTTTTAACACAAAGCAAAATACGAGAACAGTTTATGAAAAGCTTATAAGCTAAATAAGTGAAATAATTTCATGAAAAATTTTCAGTCTTCTTTTATTTTCACTTATAAAATGAAACCTATAAAATATAACCTATAAAATGAATTCATCGACTTATATCTTTGGAATGCTCTAAAAAAAAATTACACATTAAGAAAAACTAACAATATAATAAGATATCAAATATAAAATATCGTTGCAACATCTGAAGTGATAACAAATGATAATTACAATGTTGCATCAATATAAACACAAAGTAGTTAGTTTTTTATGATGTGAAAATGGTTGTTTTGTTATCGACTTTCAAACAAATGTTCAAAGATCAATCGAAACATTCATTTCTATACCAACATTAACAAAAATAATCGTAGACTCAACAATAGAATAGAAAAAAATATGAATCGCAGAAATTTCCAAACGCAATGCATAAACATTGAAATCACTTGGTCACGTCGTGGCGCATTATCTCGATCAAAAATGCGAGACTCGCCACGCGAACGCGATCTTCTCGAATCGTCGTTTCGATTTCCTTCACACCCCGCCGCATTCGTTTGGCGCTGCTGTAAACGTACACATGATGCGAGCAACGAATCGCAGACAGAGGAGCGATTATGGTAGCCGGTAGCCCGCCAGCTGCCCAGCTGGCTATCAATGACGTACGAAAGAGGCTTTGACGCATGGTAGCCAGCCGGAAGAAGAGAAAGAACCGGACACTGAGAAAAAGATGTAAGCAGTTTGTCGAACGAGAAGGTGTGCGTAGAACTAGCAAAAACGGAAATTCCAAGAGGAGAAGGCACGTAGGTAGGAAGATGGTGAAAAGAGGTGGCGCTGTTGAAGAAAATAGAGAAACTGTCAAAACGAGCGTTAGAGGTTAGAAAATTGATATATCATCGATGTGTATTATCAATTTGTATTTGATTGTAAAAAAAAGGAGATGAAATTTGATTCATTGGAGGATCTTAATTTTACATGGTTTTTTATATGGATTTCTATACATTCGATTTCTAAAAGTTACATATTATCATGTGTGAAATTTTACTTCGTATAAATTCCATTTTTAACGTAATTTTTCTTAATGATAATTTTTAAGGATTAACCTATATAAATTTGAACTTTGCAAAACAACAATATGAAGAGTTGCGGTAAAAGCAGTGGAACAGCTATAATAACGGTAATTTCACAAAATTGCATGTTGCATACATTATCATTCCGGTAAAATAAAAAGATATACAAAAATTGTAGAATTAGATAGAAGTGCAGAAGACGAAGAAGAAAAATATATACGAAGGAAACAAGATGAAATTGAGACGAGAGTATCGGGGTGGAGGAAAGAGATAACGAATCAAAGAAAGAAACAAAAGGAGAGCAAGATACGAAAAACGGTGGCATTGAACTTGACACAACGACGAAGTACCGTGGTCTTTGCGGGAGAAGAAGAGGACCGGTGCTACCGGGATTCGAAAAGAGGAGGGGAGATGAGGGCGACCGGTCGAAAAGCAGGTTTCGGTGGCCTGTTCGTATAAACTCAAAGGTAAAGTGGGAGGCCCCCGATGGACATGAAGAGAGATCGAGGAACGAGATGCGATAAATCCTTCTTCATCTGTTCGTTCCGCTTTTCTGTCCTTTTTCGGATCTTTTCGACCTTGTCGTGATCACAGATACAAGATCGACGGTTGGAATTGTTGGAGTTGCGATGATTCCGTTTCCGGACACTATGAAATTCCAATATGTAAACATCGTTTGTATCATTTTCTTTTTCCCACCTTTTTTTCTTTCTTATTTTTAACCTATATAAAATTTATGTTAAATCATCGATACGATATTTTGATATATCCGCTTTTTTCATTATTATAGGACTACGAATAAACTTGTTTTATTTTGAAACAAATGAAACGTAATTTTACGTCTGAACTATGCTCTTATATGCACAACGGTGTAAGATATAATGACTTCTTGTCGCAGAATGTATCCGGTAATGACATTTTATCGTTTATCAATAATAATGTTAAAAAAATATTTATCTTTGCCTATGAAAATCCTCAGTATTTACTTCCACAAATCGAAATATTATTTTTCTTTTTTTATTACAGACAATAGCGTCGTATTTATCAAAACAACTCGATAAAGCTTTTGATACTTCTTCCCAACTCTACAATCACTGTTATATCCTGTCAAAGATAATCAAGTTTCCGGATATTTCATCGACTTCGTACACGATAAAAAAAATGACCGCGCGATAACGACCACATCATCAAGCTATTCAAATATTTATCATTCATTAGGAGGAAAAAAAGATGAGTGAGAACACGATTGAAATGCGAGGATGGGGGATTCCGTGGAATCTCACGCGAAAATAATCCCCGGTATGAACGAAACAGTGTGTATATAGAAGGTAATTGATGGACCTTGCTTGGATCGAGAAAAAAGAAGTTCGCGGGATACGTAGACCGAGAGGCGATTGCTTACGATCACGCGGCACATCGTACTCGATTCGTTCGAGGCGCACGCACACGTGAGAGGAGCGGACGTTACTTGCACGACGTGTAAACGCTATATAGAGAAAAACATGGTTGCGCGAGCACGTCTGCACTTTCCTGCGAGCGCACACCAGCCCAGTCGAGCAAGACAGGCCGATGTGCAAAGGCGAGCTGTATGGTGTGTTGGTGGAAACAGATAGGTCAGCTTGGCGCCACCAGGCCGAGAGGCAAGCCGAGTGAAGGCCGGTCGGTTGCATGCTCTTGTTGCCTGGCTTTACTGTTCTTCGATATCCAACCATCGCTACCAACCGAACCACGCGCATTGTCATTGTCAGAGAAATCATGCATCGTGCGGATCGCTTCCCCCTTCGAACATCGATCGAGAAACCGTTCGTTCATTCCAATGAATGTGTTCGTTTTTTTTTTTCTTTCTCTCTCTCTCGAATCGTTTCATTTTATTGAAATGCATAGGAAGGAACTTTTTACTGCTGAAAAGAAATGTCTCGTGGGATCTTTTTTGTTAGGATTGGCTATCCTTTAACTTATTTTTTTTAAAGAAGTTGGGTTTAAGTTTCTGATATCATATATAAATGATTGTCTTGAATATTCAAAATAAGTGAATAGAGATGGGATTCTATTGTACAAATGATATAATTATTTTCAATTATGAAGTCATGTGAGAGGGGTTGCATCTCATCGTTAGATCTTCACTTGTCTTTTATCACATAATAGAATTTGTATGTCCATGTTGACAAATAATTTTAAAAAAAGCAATGAACAATAGTATTTAATATCATTGATTGTTTTTCGTTTTCTTTTATGAATGATAGGGAGGATAAGAGAATTAATTTTTAAATGTATGGTTAAAAATGCGTATTTTATTTCTTGATGAGTAGAGTATTATATATGAATTTATAAAATTATGTTGATGTGATATTAATGAAATATTGAATGGATTATAACGCGGAAATGAGAAGTAATGATAAAGATGAATTATCTGAGAAAAAAATCAGAAATGATATACAGTGATAAACAGAAATGATAAACAGAAAAAAAAGTGATACTTATCACGTAATTTCGAATTTAATTCAATCTTTTTTTTCGAAGCAATTATGTTGCGCTATGTAATGTTATGAAATTGAACGATTACAGAAAAATTGTACGCTCGATTAAATAATCAGATAAAGAACAAACACTCGAATCGATACATGGGTTCCTGATCTTCGATTGATATCTTTTATTTCATCGTTATCATAGTTATTGGATGTAATCCATTGTATAAAACGATTATAATCGCGTTTTTAGAATTGTATACAGAGAAAATGAATCAAATAATTTTATGGAAAATGCTGGTTCATTTAGTTAAAAATTCTTTATCAAACGTGACTTAAACCATGTCATAGTGAGTCAATTTTCGCTTATCTTTATGTTATGATTGCGTTTGTTATATAGTTATCAAGTTGCTACTGAACTTCGTGCTTCAATTCTTTTGAAGATCAAAATTGCAAGTCATTTAACGAGTCGTAAAACCATGAAAATGAACTTTATCATCCTAAAAAGTAAAATAAAAGTTTCCTCAATATGCTAAGAATGGGAAAAATCGATGAATTTGATTTATTTGTCAAATGACAATGTTTTTGAAAAAGTATGATGCAATAAAAATGCTTACCGCATGAATATATTCACAGTTTGATAAGTTTAATTAAATAAATCTCTAAATAAAGATTACTTTTGATAGATAAAATCATTAGATTAGTAAAATAATTAGTGTCAAGTTGTCAATGTCTTTGAGATTTTAATTAAATTAATCTATAATTGTTTAAAATATTTTTTATATTTTGTTCGATTTTAATTATTCGTTCTTTTTCGTAAAAAATTTATTTTATAAAGAATTTAATCAATATCTTCATAATTTCAATGAGATTTATTAAAAAAAGGACTTTAGTCTCGAAATAATAAAATACTTTAGAAATACATTCGATTTCTTCAATTCGTTTTTTTTTCGCTTCATTTTACACATCGATCTAATATACTCGTAATTTCTTTTAAAATTTTCGCGCCACTCGATTCCTCAAATCTCACGATATATATTTCGAAAGAATAGATCGAATGCAAGCGAACGCATCACTTCATAACCTCAAAACATGTTACGATACAAACATCCAAATGAGAGTTTACCAATAAATTAGAAAATTAGAAAATCGTTAATGTTCTATTATTTCACGTTAGCAAGCGACGAAGAAGATAAACGTTGTGCAGTCAAGCTGCTGTTTCTCGAGGAAGTCAAGCAATCAAACCGAACAACCGTGGCTGGTAGAACAGATAGGTCAGCTTGGCGCCACAGCGCCGAGTCGCAGCGAATGAAGGCCGCTTGGTCGCATGCTCGTGTTCGCTACTTTACTGTTTCTCGCCACTCAACACCGGCAGCACCATAATGCGACTGGTACTGTCACCATTAGCGGTAACGGGTAAACGCTTGGATTCCACACGATCAAACGAGCGATACAACCGATCTTATTGGAAATTCGTGAAATTCCTTTTTCTTCGTTTGAAAGTAATGCGATTTTAGTTAGACATAAGTGACACATCTTATGTAAGTATTTTTGGCAACTACTTCGAAATGATTATAGGTATATTTGAATTTAATCGATACGATTAATTGTTATCAAATATTGAAACAATTATTTTTATTTTTTGATATATAAAGTATACGATGCATGTTAATATATTCAATGAAACATCTTTTTGGATTAATTTTAATCAAAATAAATGCAAAATTGGAATACAAAAATATCGATGCTCATTTATTAAATTACAAATAATTTAAGGTTTAGGTTAGATTAAGCGAGCATGGAAGGAGATGAGAATTATTTTATTATTGATATACATAAAAAATTCTTGATGAAAAATTCTATTCGACGAATTCTATCGATACGAATATATTAACATTTTGCACATTTATATATCAAAATACAAACAATTTTACAAATATAAATTAATGTTATGACTTTCTCTATTTATATTCTCGCCGCTGTATAAATTAAACTCGAAGCAAGTATTCTGATTTTTCTTAAAGAAAATATTAAACAATATTTGATTACAATCAGATGTATATATTTCGCACATTGTATAAGAGCATTGTTGTTATATCGCGCGCTTATACTGCTTATTCCAATTATCAGCTATTATCGAAATTACGATCGCCCCATTTATTTTTATTAAGATCGACGAGGTAGAACGATATATGATCAACGGATCGTTGAATACGGGCGAAGACCGGCTGCAAAATATCCATACCTGCGGGGCCTGGGAAACGGCGTGTACCATTAATTGTAACTAACACGCGTCCCCATCATTAACGATGGTTAGCGATCAGTTATATGGGTTATACCGTTTAATGCATACCCGTGCTTCAATGTGCGATGTGTGCAAATCGTTCGCTCGCACCGTGATTGGTGAAATATAGGCCAATGGAAGATACGTTTTATATTTTCTTTTTTATTTAATCAATCATTTATATGACTATATACAAAGTTGACAAATATAGGAATTTATTAATGGTTTATCGTAAAATATATAAAGATAAGATTTTTAAACTTTGAAATTAGCATTTTTGTGAATATTTTTTTGAATAAATTTTGATTTCGAATTTTTCAAACTTTGTAGAGAAAAAATATTGATTTAATGTAAAAGATGGATACAAATTATTAAATCAAAGAGTTATGACACGAAATTTGATTACCCATCTGTTCTGGTACATGCTATTTTGGATCATTTCCAAAACTATTACCAGAAACGGTCACTAGTTATGGCATAATAATTGGATAGAGTAATCGATGTTTATTTTGATTCACCTAGAATCGCGAAATACATCGAACAGAAAACAACTTTGGATTGTGCAACTAATTTATCCAATTTATGCTTTGCGGTAATTTACATTAATTAAATATTTAACTTATTTGTAGTTTGTCCAATGATCGAGTTGACGAGAATACCATCTATTAAAGTAATCTAATCATCCAGTTTTTAGTTTGATGAATGAAGGGATTAAATAATAATGTTCAATTCAAAAAATCAATTACAACTATTTTAGTTTTATATTTTAATAAACTTTAAATATCTTGTATTTTTTATAAATTATATTAGTAATAAGAAATGAAATTTATCTTACTAGCAATGCTATAAGTTAATTTACTATATTATAAGTTTAAATATTATTATATAATAATGAATATGTTGAATCATATTGACATCGAATTTTAATGATTTAATTATAAAAGTTAAGCAAAAAAAAAAAAAGAATCAAAAGAATCGATTGACTCTTTGGAAAATCCCCTTTCTCAAGATTTCAAATACCAAGATTAAAAAAAAAAAAATGATTAAGAAAGGAATATATTAATTTTATATTGATTTTCAAACTCATTCATCAAACTTTTCCTTTATCGCCGTATTTTATCGTTGACGTATTGTGGTTTAAAATACAAAAGGATGGAATAACCCCGACGCGAATCGGTACACCGGTGGACGAAGCCACGACGGGGACCCGTGGAAAAACACGGCCACCGGTAAAATTCCTACGTTGCTGGTTTGTTCCCACTGCAAAAAGTCCCATGCTAATTCAACGTTGAACGCTCGAGAAACTCGGCACGGATGAGTAAACGCGTCTCATAATCCTTCGCAACGTCGACCAGCTTTGGATATCTCGATTACAAAAAAGTGAGGGGGGAGGGAGGGGGGAGGGTGACGTGACACGATAATAAACCTTTCCGTAATACCCTTTGTATCGGCCCATGGGAGAAGGAAACTAACCGCTCAACTTATTCCTCCGTACGTTTTTATCTTTAAGTCGTGAGAAACGGTTTGCAACACACCTCGGTTTAGAGGTTAGGTTTCAGTTTTCGATCTTTCTTTCTTTCGATATTCGGAAGCGAAAATTTCAATTTT